AAAATCTAATATCTAATACTATCGCAATACCAGTTATCGATTTCAATACCGGCAAAACTAACTTAATGCATTAATATCTTAAATGTTTCATGTTCTTGTGAAATCTTTCACAACACGTTGAATGAAATATTTATGTTATTTAATCACATGAAATATTTGAGACTTCAAACACTATCTATATAATCAGAAAAACACAGTTAATACTTGTGATATGTAAATTGGTAACAATGCTAAAATATTTCTTACTTTAGTCCAAATCTTCATTCTTACTGTATTCAACACAGAATGACTTATGTGATTCATAAAAAATCTGTGCTTAAAAAAAAGTTTGTTAGTTTATATCTCCCTTTTTCATATTACGTGTTTAAGAGGACACAACTAATACAATTTAATTGACATTTATAAAAAAGAAAAATGAAAAGAAAAATGAAAATGGAAATATCTAAAACAAGTCAGAATATTTGAACATTTTATTTTGAATAAAAACAAAATAAGGAAATCGCTACAAGAGAAATCGAGTGAATATCCAAAGTTGTACAAATTTTAACTTCGAACTCTTATATCAATTTAATTTGACTTACATTTTTTTGTTTCATAAAGGTAGACAAACTTGTCAGGAAACTTGTATTAAATTTTTAAATCTTAGATATGAGGATGACCATTTTTATGAATTTCTAATTAAATATAATTATAATGTTTCATGGTTCTTACGAATTTTGTCAAAATTAAGTTTATATCGTTAGTTTAGTTAGTTAGTTATAGAATTAAGCATAGTTCATGATAAAATAATTAATTCTAAATAACAAGTTAGTTTTATATTTCATTGTTCTTTAACATATGAAATAAGTACATACCGCCCTTCTTTCCATATCCTTCAATGAGCTTACGCAATGGACCTGAAATTATTTGGATTTATTTGGATTGTTAGGTGCTTTGTAAATTTCATATTCACTTTATACACAGTCATAAGTACACATGCATTTTATAATTGAAACATTTATTGGTATTTAATTATAAACCATTGACAAAACAACTCACTAATTGTAAGTTCTCCACTCTCCACTTTCAACTCTATAAAACGTATAACATAAAATATTCTTTATTGGGCCATAAGCTCATAATAACAGATATTGAATGTATAAGCCAATGGACATGTAGGGATATAATTATGCATAACATTGACTACATTGTAGCCACTGCTTCACATAAATCACTTATAAAAATGTACCGAACTAGTTATGTATACTTACTTAAATCCTTGATCCTGGCTTCATAATCATTGTTTTTTCGAAATTGGTCGTCTATAAAAAGACGAATTATATTATGCATTTATCTCAGTTTGATACTTATCTTATAATTCATTCAAACTGACTACACACACTTCTGGTACAAAAATATAACATAAAAATACCTTTATATATTTAATTATTTAGTTAGACTGATGCGATGAAGTATGACAAATAATTTTCAGCAATGGTTTGAATATCTAATCAAAATTCTTCGTTCAATTAATATAATCACAATGGCTGCTAGATTTTTTGATACGTAAATATGATTCAAAATTAATAAACAATCAAATTAAAACGAACATTCAGTGTTATCTCATGACTTAGTTGCCACTCAGGCTCCTAGGTTTCACATAAACATAAGTCAGAGGACAGATGCAACAAAAATCAGTTAAAATGATTGTTTTCATTTCAACATTCGATCTTCAACACTTGAGCATCTCGAACTGGTCAATCTTCTGATAGAAACATCTTAACTTCTACTATTGATCTACTTCTAAGATTTCTAATTGACCCCAGAATATACGTAAAATGAGCGATAAAGCCATAAAATTAATGACTGGCAAAAACAAGACTAAAACTACTACTAAATCCACATAATGGCCAACATCTCAAAATAAAATATATAATTTTCGTAGTATCACAACGAATATGGCAAAAAATATCAACTACAATTATTGAATTCGAAACCACAAATAAGAAATCTGTATACAAAAAAAGTGAATTCATATTACATGGACATTATATTTTTATAATTTAAAGTGATGAAACAGATTTACAATTACCATCTTAAAACTGTCATATCAATATGATATTATATTATTTTTCGGTGATTCGGAATTATAAATATATATTTAAGGCACAGTAAAGTGTAAACATTATATTATATTGAAATATTACACTATGACTAACTATTGTCTTTTACTGTGCATACTTACAAATAAAAACGTTGATCGCGAAGTGAATTAACTTATTTGAAGTATCGGCTATAAAAAAAAATAATTATACTATTCGTTTAGGTACATAAATCTCAGTTCGTTACTATTTTTATACTTTGATCTAATCAATTACACATAATTAAAACAGTCTGTATTTTTTTTAGATAGTCGTCCTACACGAACCAAAGAAAACCATATCAACCCCTGAAATAAACAACATATTCACCCTCAATATCAAGGTTAGGTTTATATGAATTAAAAAAATCTTCTCATCTTTAAAACATTACTAGAACTCAATACCATAGTCCAATTAACTTAAGCATATAAAAAAAAGCAATTGAAAATGTAATACTCCTCCTAATTTCAACCGACACCAAGATATTATTGCAATCACCCGTAACAGAATCGGGTATTCTTTCTTCACCCGCTCATGTCTAATCAGTATAGAACTCCAACCAATATGTGAATCTTGCCACATTGCATCAACCATCAAGCACATAGTGGGAGAGTGCTCAAAAGTCACCTACCATAGCAGAAGCACTCAGCAAAAGTTGAACATCAAAAATAATAGTATTTTTAAGTACCACAAATTTCATACAAAAATTGTAATTTATAAAATTTGTATATATTGTGTAACAAGTTGTCTTAGGAAAAATACCATAAAAAATTTAATGTCAAGCTTATAACCTACGACGTTGACGCCATTTTTCTAAAAAAAAAATAAAATAAAGGACATTATGCCGTAATAATATGTTTCAACGTTGTATGAATAATAAATGCGACAATAATACAATTTATCTAATTCTTCAGTGTGATTTATTTTTCGCCTTCCCGATGAAGAATTAAAAAATATACGTATGCATTAGGTTCTTTTCAAATAATCAATTCTAATATACAAGCCAGTGAAAGCCGATAGGTATGAATTTAAATTGCAACGTAGAAATATAATAGTTATCGCTCTACGTATTATCATTAATACATTTTTGGTTAGATGGTTAATGTGTTTTTTATTTGTACTACCTATTATGAAATATTTAATCATATATAAACACATAATGCATTATAATATATTAACATATAACATTATTAATAAATTGATGCGGACCTGTTGGGGTGCCGCGTGGATATTGAGGTGAGGTAGTGAGATAGCTAAAATAATGAAGAAGAGAAAGCAAAAAAAAATAAAGACACAACTTTATGAGGGTATGAAAGTTAGTGATATATTATTTGGTGGTGTCACAGAAACGAATAATATTGCACAATATGCGAACAACATAAAAAAAACTGTCTTCTCCGTTCAAAGGAGTGCGGTGGTTGTTTTTCTAGCGGGGACGTAATGATACTAGGCCTCGATGATGGAGAAAAACGGACTGACTGCGGGTCTGTCTAACACCACGACCGGTTGCGCAGTGCGGTTGTCGTTCCGTCGTCCACTGGCGGGTTGGGTGTGTGGTTAGGTATAATAGTTATGTATACTTACTTATAGTACCATATAGTTTGAATTTATCATCAGTAGCTATTTAAAGATAAATTATATTATTGATATACCTCAGTGTCATAATGTTTTTATATTTCAAGATAATCAATTACACTTTATATTGCTTATGTAATTTTTTTTTTTTTATTAAATAACTATCCGCGGCGTCTATGGCCATTGGATGTAAAAGTACAATATTATCTTTAAGTATATTTACATATTACATTAATATTTAAAAGGTATATAAAGTAATTTAGTATTTAAAACAAGACAAAGTAGTAATAATTAGGAAAGAAGTTAGGTAATTAGTATTATTTACAATTTACAGTTTGTTTATGAGATTCGTTTGTTTGAGAAATTGCATGATCTTGTGTATATTGCTGGGGTCCGGGTCGAGAGCTTCGGCGAGGTGGTTGGATATTTGATACAGCCTTCTTTCTTTGTCATATACTTTGCATTCGGTTAAGATGTGTTTCACAGTAAGGAGTGTTCCGCAGCATGTGCAAACTGGGGGGTCTTCCTTCTTCATTAAGTGGGAATGTGTAAGGTGGGTGTTTCCAATTCTGAGACGGTTTATCGAGGTCTCATGTTTTCTTGAGATGTTATCTGGGGAGGGATACGGTAGGGCGGAACTCTTGATTTCGTTAAGTTTGGTTGACATTTCATTCCATTCCTTTTGACACTGAAGTAATGTATCATTTTCGATGACCCTCTTTATGTCGATGAGGGAGAAAATGGGTAAGGAGAGAGAATTTGGGGAAGAGTGAGCGAGTTCGGCGGCTGTGTCTGCTAGTTCGTTGCCGTCTATGTTACAGTGGCCAGGGATCCAAGAGTAGGTGATGTTTTTGTCCTGTTGTTTTGCTATGAAGTGGGTGTTTTGAATTTTTCTGACGATATCAGACGGAGAATAAAGATTTTGGAGGCTGGTAAGAGCGGAGAGGGAGTCACTAAATATTGTAATATTGCTGTCATTTATTTCAGAGATGGTGAACTCGATAGCTTTAAGGATCGCCAGGGTTTCTGCTGTATATATCGAACATTTGTTTGAGAGTTTCCATTGTATTGTAGTTTTATCTCATATGATAGCCATCCCGACTCGCCCTTCGATGATGGAGGCATCTGTATATATATGAGTTTGTGGGCGGATGCGTGAGCAAAAGTCTCTGAATGAATTCTTGAAAATGTGAGGGCAGGTTGAGTTTTTGGGGAATTGATGTAGGTAAATGTTAATATTCATGTTGAACTGCCATGGGGGACATAGGGGTTTTTCATATGGGATTATATTTTCGAGGTCGTATTTTATGTATGTGTGATTAAATGTATGTTTAGGGTGATGAATTTGATTTTGGGGGATCTTGATATTCTTGCTGCTAATTTGTGGGTTTGTTCTCTCCACCGTACTTCTAGGGAAGGAATTCCAGCAATATTTAATATGCTTTTGATGGGGCTAGAGCGGAAGGCGCCAATGGAGAGTCGGATTCCCGAGTTATGGATAGTCTCCAGTATTTTAAGTTTAGTGTGTTTCGCTGATGAGAATATTGGAGCGCCGTAATCAAGTTTCGATAGTATGAATGCTTTGTGTATCTTAAGAAGGGTTTGAGATTTGGCTCCCCATGAAGTATGACCTAGAGTTTTTATGATGTTGAGTCTTGGTACAGTAGTGTTCTTTAGGTTGAGAATATGAGGGATCCATGAAGCTTTATGATCAAAAGTGATGCCCAGTATTTTAACATTAGGTTGGTTTTCTACGACTTGGTTTCCGATGTTAATGTGTATTTTCTTCTTATTCCTCTTATGGCTGAAAACTATAAGGTTAGTTTTTTCTGGAGAAAATCGGAAGCCGGAAGTTTTCGACCAGGACGTGAGTTTGTTAGTGGAATCTTGAAGTATCGATTGAATAGAATTAACGTTTGTACTGCGGCAAAGAATAGTGAAGTCGTCTGCGAATAGTAGAGGTATGTTTGGGCGTGAAATTCCTTCAGTTATATCATTGATAGCGATCAGGAAGAGAGTTACAGAGATAGTGGACCCCTGTGGCACCCCACTTTCTTGGAGAAAGATGTCTGAAAGCGTGTTAGAGGTTTTTACTTGAAAGGTGCGGTGGTTGAGGAAATTCGAAATGAAATCTAGCATGTATCCTTTGGCAATAATTTTGTTGAGTTTATTTAATATTCTGGGTCTCCACGCCGTGTCATATGCTTTGACTATATCAAAGCTGATCATTCCCAGGTTTTGTTTGTTGTTTAAAGAAGAGTGAAGTTCATTTTTAATGGTCAGAAGGTTGTTCATTGTGCTTCTGTTACATCGGAATCCATTTTGTTCAGGGGTGAGAAAGTTGAGGTTTTCAATAAACCATATAAGTCGACGATTGACTATTTTTTCGAGTAACTTACATAAGGTGTTAAGTAGACAAATGGGGCGGTAGCTTTCTGCTATGAATTTATTTTTGTTAGGCTTGAGTATGTGGATAACATAACCATGTTTCCAAGATTCAGGAAAGACGTTACTATTTCAAATTAAGTTGTAGATGGCTAAGAGGTGGTTTAAGGTGTTTTTTGGGAAGTTTTTGATGAAGGAGTAGGGAATCTCATCGGGGCCAGGAGATTTACTTTTACAGTTGTGGAGGGCATCTTCAAGTTCCTCGATCTTCAGTGGGGAATTGAGTAGGGATTGCTGGAAGTCGAGAGGATCTACTGAGTTGACTGGGTCTACATAGCATTGCGAGTAGTTAAAGAAATCTTGGTCATAATTAGCATTGCGAGTAGTTTAAGAAATCTTGGTCATAATAAGCATTGCGAGTAGTTTAAGAAATCTTGGTCATAATTAGCATTGCTAGAGTTTTCATGGAATATACGTCCCAGAGAATTGGCTACGTCATAAGGTGATGTGGAGAGTTTTGAGTCAATCAGTAGATTTATGACGTTAGATCTATTGGTCCCTTTTATGGATTTGATTTTTTTCCAAACAATGGAAGAGTCCGTTTGGTTATGTATGCTGGACACTAAGTTTTTCCAACTTGAGGCCTTGCTGTTTTTTACGAGGAATCTGGTACGTGCTTTGCATCTTTTGAGGGTGATAAATTCTTCTTGGGTCTTGGAGGTTTGAAATGTTTTTAGTTCTTTGTTTTTGATTTGGATGGATTTTTTAATGTTATCGTTCCACCAAGGTACTCTGGGTCTATGTTTAGTCTTATTTAAATATTCGCCTATGGAAATTTTAGCAGTATCTTGAATAAGTGCGGTAAGGTTTGCTACATCAGTGGTGATGCTCGTTCTGGAAGGAGGAGGTAGAAAGGGGGTATTTATCTCCAATGTAGATGAGAATAGATTCCAGTTGGCGTTTTTTATTTTCCACATAGGGGGGTAATTGAGGCGGGAACTGTCCATCGGAAGAGTGATCGATATTTCTATAGGGATATGGTCGCTGCTATATATATCAGGGAGAGTGTTCCATTCTAGTTTGTGAGATATGGACGCGTTGGTGATGGATAGATCTATAGCTGACGGATGTCCGTTAGAAGGGTTTATTCTGGTGGGTTGACCATTATTTAATATGACAAGACTGTCGTTTGAGAGTAGTTCTTCGATTATTCTACCTCTGTAGTCGGTTTTATTCGAACCCCAAATTTCGCTGTGGCTATTGAAGTCGCCCACAATTACAAACGTGTTGGGAAGTTGTTGGATGATATGTTTTACATCGTAGAGTGTGAAATCTTTTTGGTTGGGTATATAAATGTTACACAAAGTTAAGGTTATGTGGGGAAGTGTGATTGAGAGTGCTATGGCTTCTAAGTCAGTGTGGAGTGTAATTTCTTCGGTGGGGAAATTGTGGTTGACCAGAATAGCGACTCCTCCGCTCGATCTATTGCATACATTTCTGTTTTTTTTTTGAATATGTTGAAGTGGAGAAGTGCGGGATTGTTTTTGGTATTAAAATTGGTTTCTTGTAGACATATAATTGAGGGGTTGTAGTCTTTGATTATTAGCTGGAGTTCTTCTAATTTGCTGTAGAACCCATTTATGTTCCATTGTATAATGTTAACTGACATGTTAATTGTTTTTGAAGATAAGATTTTGCTCTTGTATTGATAGGTTGTGACTAGTAAACTAGGCGAGGAGTGGTGATAAGTACTAAGAGTGAGCTGATTGGGGTTGTAGGTGATGTTAATTGTCTTGAGGTGGTGGAAGTGCTTGGAATAAATAGTTGGCCAGTCTGGTGAGTTGGGCTTTAGTTGTACGTTCAGTGACCTTAGGTCGTATTGAATCGATCAAGAACATAAGCGATGTAATATCCGAATTGATGTCTTTACAGATATTGTGGATATTAAGATTTTTGTTGGTATAGTTCTCCAGTACATATTTGAATTGGTGTAACGAGATGGGTGAGTCATTGGAGAAGATGTCCTCTGCTGGTTTGAGTTCATCGGATATTTTGTCGGCTATCTTAGATGTGGAATTGGAACGGGATCTATCTACTTTAGCTTTTTTTGAACTATTCCTGCTTCTGTCGGTGTTTAAGTTTACCTTAGGGGGAGAGGTAGGTATTGTTAGAGATGAATTTTCGGACAAGGGTCTTTTATGTGGTTCACAAAGTGCATTGAAATTTATCTCGGTTTTTTCGGCCTGGTTGTGAGAGGAGGGTTGAGGGGTATCGTTGGTTTGATGGTCTACTGAGATTCCTTCCATTATTTGGAGGGGCTTGTGTGGAGTATTAGGATTTTTTTGTGAGGATGGGGAGGATATATTCATTTCTGGGGTGTTTATGCTAGTATGAGGATATAAGCTAGGTTCTTCCAAGGGAGGTTCTTCCACAGGTTCAGGTTGTACGGGTGGAGTAGCGGTTTGGGGATTGACATTAATTTTCTTACAATTGTTAGAGGTGTGGCCAGTGGATTTACATAAAAAACAGATGATTCTATCGTCGGTAAAGAAAACTCTATATTCTGTTTGATTATGTAGTAATGGTAGAGATCCGGGGAGGTTTGGATATTCTTCGTGTTTAATAAACATTTGGCGGCGGAAGCTTAATATGTGTTCATATCCCTCTATGTTGATACCTGCTTTTAGGTATGCAATTTCGGATACAGGGATAACATTGATATTTTTAAGTGCATCGAGTATGACGTGATTGGGAATAGAGGGGCAGACATTAGAAATGACAATCCTCTTGGCTGGGTTTATGAGTCTGCGTATTTGTATTATCTGTTCGTTAATTTTAATTTTTTGTGTGGCTTCTAAGAGTGAGTCAAGTATTTGCTTGCTTGAGAGAAAAATGCAAAAACGGTTATTTGATATGGGAAACAGATACAATGTTCTTTGGCGAGATTATTTTACCTATGGCAACAATGTAATCTCTTTGAGGTATGCCGTCTATAGAATTAAACACCAGTGCTTGTTCTCTACTAGGAGAGTTTTCATTAGATGCCGCGGTAAGCATAATTACGGTTTGTCTTGTGTGTTGTGATGTTGGTAGTTATTACTTGATTGTTGATATCGCTGGTCGGGGTAGATGTTGATGATGGCAGAAATGCTGGTGTAATCGGAGTAGGAGTGTGTGGTGGGGTGGTGGAGGTAGGGGTTTTGGGTATCTTTGAGCGACTAAGGAGAGTGGTTTGTGAAGTTTATGCATTTGTAGGTTTGGTTATTTGTGTTGCATTGGTTTTAATACTGGGTTTATTCGTTATCGGTTTGCTAATGACCGACGATAATGACGGTCTGCCCGTCTTATTAACGTTGCTCATTACGCGATAGGAGGGAAGTTACATAATATAATTATATTTCCCGTATGCGTATGTCCAACGGTGATGTGCTATCGGGAGCTTATAAATGCGCACTCGCGAAAAGTAAACACGTGCTACACGGTCGGCTGTTAGACACGTACTGGTAAGTAATTTAAACATGTCATACGTGATTGTATTAAAATTATTAAGTCAGACTGATACCATGAATATGACCCTCAATTTATATATAATATTGATCAAATATCAAAAAAAAAAAAAAAAATGTGGAGTGTAAAAACCACGACAGCAGTCAGATGTCCCGATACGTCAATAATTATTTCCAAATTCACTAAGGGAAATTGTATAGGAAAATATATTTATAAATCATAACTCAATGGCCACTAACACTTATATGTGATATAAACATATTTTGAAGTCATTTAACATGACTGTTGTACGATTGTTAGTAAGTGTGATACGATTCGTATTGTCAATAAGAAATACAACGAAAATACAATTTTTCATATCACTCAATTTCTTGAAAAAATTGGTTCCCTAATTCTTGATGTAAATCGCTCTCTGTATTATCATTAATACATATTAATGAAATATTTGATTAATCTGTACTTAAGTGTGTATTATTTACCGTAATGTTTTTAAACATCTGTAATAGCTGTGTATATTAAAAAACATTTGAGTATAACAATGCAAGTAATTTATAATTTATACTTACGGAGTTTTCCATTTAAAATATCAGCATATGAAATACTATAAGTACTATAATTTTCATTCACTAGAAAAAGATAAATTAATAATTATATTACACATAAATATGTATTTATATATTTTAGTTAAATTAATCACTATGACCATATTAAGTTGTTTGCAATATTTAGAAACAGTTACTTTGAACACTTGTAAATGTATGTGTAAGTTCTTGACTTATTGGTGAACATCCTGAATGGTCACCCATCTGGGACTTAGCAACAACGGCTTTTGTTTGCACTCAGACAGCTTATGCAACTGAGCATTATAAGATATATGTTTATAATGTTAGAGGCACACCAAATCACTAGGTGCGTGTTCTTAATTCCCCGTTTTAATAATGATTTTTTTTTTTTATTCATGGTACAGCATCAATTTCTAAGGTTATTAGCTTGCAACAAAAATTGGTAATTAGTACATAATAGAGTATATTTATACAATAGATTCTTAAATTAAATTATACATATCAACTTGTTTAAAAAATATGATATTTTGTTGGTGTTGTCATGGATAGGGCTGAGGGCTTTAAAAAGGTTGTCGTGCAATTTTAGACTTTTTCTGGTATCTATATGTATACGGCAGTGGATAAGGAGGTGCTTGACTGTGAGAGATTCTCCGCAGGTTAGGCACATAAGACATGTCCATGGGACAAATTTGAGTGACCTATAAGTAATCTATTGATAACTACTTCATCTTTGCGATTTGATGTATGTGGTTTAGGCCAGTATTCGGTAATATTTTTTATTTCTCTCAGTTTGTTATTGGGTGTACGACGCCATTCAGATTCCCATAAATTGGCACAAAA